CCATGTGAACACAATAATAGAAAAGCTGACAGGATCGCTTTTCTAAATATGCGCTGTGTGTGTTTTGCTGTATACGCTATTATGTCCAGTTTTATATGCGTATGTTTTTGCATGTACGCTGTTTTGCATGCTATAAATAGCTGGTGTTATTGTGTTCATTGTTAATTATTCGATGAAGTGAAATATACTGTCTAAAGGAAAAGAGTTGTCCTCGTGCCGTGTGGTCGTACGATCCTGACAATTTAGAGAATCTTAGAGGGTTCATAACAGCTATCAAGTGTAACGCCAAGGTGCTTGTGACGAGAGGTTATAGGTATCGGGGTAGGATCATCTGGGAAATGGAAAATAGAAGTTTGAAGATGTGCAACATCTGATGACGCGTTGGGGACGACACACATGATCTCGGTCTTGGCGGAGTTCGGCCGGAGTTTCCACCTTCGCATCCACTTGACCACACAGTCTATTCCTACCTGCAGGTCTTGACACGCGACGGGGAGCGACCGGTGACTAGCCAGCAGAGTGGTGTCGTCCGCATATAGCGAGGTGTTGGGAATTGCACCGATATCATTCACATACATTAGAAAAAGCAGGGGCCCCAGAATTGATCCCTGGGGGACACCAGAACACACGCATTCAGGTTGGGACAATTGACCCGAGATACTCACTTGCTGTGAGCGACCACACAGGTAACTCTCCAGCCACCGCAGTATGCGTCCTTGAATCGAGAATGATGCTATCTTAGCCATCAGCCCACGGTGCCACACAGTATCAAAGGCTTTAGATAAATCGAAGAAGCAGACTAGGCTGTACTCGCTGCGATGGCGATTGTCATGCAGGGATTGAACAACTCGAAGTAGCTGCCAGGCTGTTGAATCACCTCGACGGAATCAGGACTGTGATTGATGGAGATATGGATCTACATGTGCATATAACTTGTCATACATTATTCGCTCACACAGCTTTGATATCGTTGAGAGAAGGGATATGGGACGATAGTTCGTCGGATCCGTTCTTGCGCCTTTGTTTTTGTACAGCGGGATGACGACAGCAGCTTTCCAGGCAGTTGGAAAAATACCGGTGGAGAATGACAGATTGAATAGCAGACTCAAAGGAAGCGATATCGACGGGCCAATCAATTTCAGCAGCTCGTGTGTAACTCCATCAGGTCCCGCAGCTTTCCGGAGCTTTAGACGCTTGATGCATTTATGCACGGCATAGGGCGTGGTGAAGATAGAGGTGAGCAGCGGCGCAGTCGAGGCGTCCTGCAAAGGCGGGAGCGTCCACTGAGGGTTATCCAGAGTACCAAATGCAATGAACTGCTTATTTAGGGCATTTGCAATGTCGTCAGGTGATTTGATGTCAGCTCCTCGGACGGTGAGGCGTGATACAGTGGGTTTTCCGGTGGAGTCCGACCGCAAACTTCGGATAAAATTGTGTAGATTCGGTGATGTTGTTTGGGCCTGTTGGGAGAATGAATTGAGAGTGCGCAGAAATCTCCGGTGCTCCAGCCGCGAGAGGTTACGGGTCTTATTCCGTTCCGCCTTATACACAGCTGGATTTTTAGGGGTTTGATACTTCCTGTACACACTGTACGAGTCACGCTTCCGTTTGATTTGTTCTCTTAATGCTGGTGTTAGCCAAGGTGTTTGGGCAGATTTCGAGGGTGTGCATCGGATTGTCGATTTGCGTCAATTGGTGCGGACGGGCGAATTTTTATTTTTATTTTTTTCTATGACCGTGTGTATATACGTATGCGCATATGCGCATGCCATACCGAGCTTGAGATTGAGCTTTTTTTTACAGTATTTTCCTGTAATTTTTATTTTTTATTCGAATTTCACAAAAAACAGGCACGCGGTTTACCCGTTCAATTTTTCTGTATTTCGGCCAACGATGGTTCTGATCTGTACATCAGGGAGTTGTACAGGCTCGGGTTTGTGTAACTCCACGTCACAGATCTACTCACACGATTAGTACTGTACATGTATTATGAACTGTTCAAAAAAAATTGGCCTTGGCTCCAATTTGGTGCGGGAGGGCCCGGGAATCACTAATTTTTTTGGTCTCGCCCAGGGAGTCGTACTCAAACTAGGGAGGTGACACGGCACAGAAATCCGTGTCACAGGGGTTGACTCGCACCCGTGACCCCTCGTTGTTATTTTTGGAATAGTTCAGTCCAGTCCAGTCCGAAAGGTCATACTCGGATTCTTTTTGCCGAAAATCCCCAAGCCTCTTGTACGGGCAAAATAAACACAATTACGAGTGGAACCTCAACAGCACCGGAAGAAAAACGAGCAAAAATGGCTGTGAAAACAGTCGAGAGAGCAAAAATGGCTGTGAAAACAGTCGAGAGAGCAAAATGGCTGTGAAAGCAGTCTAGTATGGAGCCTCGGGAGGGAGCTTTAACCGATGCTGGTCATGGCAACCGCAAATCGGGCCGAGTCGTTTGCATCTGAGGGCACGCGGTGCCGATGGCCTCGCAGACTGGCAACAGCCGCACGGATGAGGGCAAAGCTGAGCTTACATCGGATGTAGGAGATTGTGGCAGCGTACGGCTCCTGCTTCTTGTTGGCGAGCATCGATGCCAGCCGAGCATAGAGTGCTGTCGCAGCTTTGCCATACCCTCCAGTGCAGGACAAGACAACTGGTGAGAAGGAGGCGTGCTCGACGTTGGTGATCCGTTCCCCGTAGCGGCGACGCTTCTCCTGCTCATGTCGCTTGTACACAGCGGGCAAGGCAAACTAAATAATTAGGGATCACGGCTTGCCACTAAAAGCACCCGTCACGTGCGCCTCCATTTTGGATTATGGACGCGCGCTACAGGCCGCGACAGCGCCTATCGAAGTAAAAAAATATCGACTCGAAGTCTAGCCGGAGAGCGTACTTTTTGAATTTTTCCTTGGCTTCAGTGGCTTCACTTCACTCGGGCTTTGCATTTTTCTGACTGACCTGGACTTGATGATGGCGGCGGTGGCGGTCTTGGCGAAAGATCTAGTTCCATCTGAGACACTCTGTCGTCTTTTCTTATCTGCTGAGGTTCTGGCAAAGCGCAGCTGCATCGAACCTGACTAGATGTAGCTGCACGCATCCTTTGTTTGCCCTGCAAATCTCGATCTGTTGCTCTTCTTGCTGTTTGGCCGCTGATGCCATGGAAGAAAATATTCTTCCTGTAAAGAGGCCGAAACTGAGCTAGGGCACGTCAAGATATGTGGGGTATACAAAGAAAAAGAAATGTCATGGTCGTTTCAGCAGCTCACGACAGCCAACACGCTCCATCGTCGGGATTGGAAGTATCCAGCACGGCTGTTCCGAGCGCTGCTGCTCTTGTTATTCTTCTTCTTCAGAAATTCTCCACACCTTGTCGGCCAAAGTACGCGCGCGCGTGCACGGAAAATAGATGCGCTGAGCCGTTTCTTGTTCGATTTTGACAAATAATGGCTTGTTGTTTTGCTCTCGACCTTGGCTATCCTTCTACCGTTCAGTATTTTACGGAAACGCAACGGCTCCCCCTGTTTTTTTAGCCGAACTTTGGCCAAAGTTACTGGAAAACCCGGAACTCGTTTGAAAAAATACGAACGGTGGAAGTCTTGGAACGTCTTTCGTGCGTATGGATTCAAAAATTCAGGCAGTTTGAGCCAACCGTAATGAATCCCGTAGAGTTGAAAGTGAGTGATATTGATGGGAAAATGCGATTTGAGCACTGACCGATTGTGTGGGACAGTATATGCACGCGCCTGTCACGTGCATGATGTAGCTGGCGACGCTAGCATGCATGCCAATCCGTGAACCCTAATTACTTGGTGTTGGTGCACCGGTGGGGGCGTGGGGGTTGAAAACCCGGACATCAAAGTCATACTCGGATCGACTCGCCTTCTGTACTTCACCTCCAAGCGTGCAACGCAAGACCCGCAAAGTATGATTTTTCTGTGGGGAACGATTTTGCCATTGATCAAGTAACTACTTTTTATTGGAGTGCTCAGGCATACTACGATTGCTGAGACGTCCCGAGCACGCTTGTTCAGGTTCTCTATTTTTGACGAGCCGGTCCTACAGCCCCCTACATTGTATCTAACGACGTAAGAGCTGACAATGTAAGAGGATTTCCCTGGAAATAATGATGATGGTGGCGTGACTGCTGCAGGAAAAATGCTGGCTGTTTATGACAGTATGACTAGATGTACAATGGAGCTCTTTTGTATGGTACTAAACCCCTGCTATAAATGTGTTGTTTAGGAAGACTGGTGAGACTGGTGAGGAAGAAAAATTTCAAAAACCAGCTTCGTGCTATGTGCAATTTGGGTCAATTTTTAGTATTCGGATTAAACCTAGGATACGACTCTGAACAGTTCTGAACAGTTACCGTAACACTACACGCCGTCTCATAACTGCTGCTGTTGCCATCACTGCTATCAAGTAGTTCGGACATGGCAGGAGGTAAACAAATTGCTGGTAGTCTTTCAAAGAATACTGGCGAGTGATGGGCTGTAAACGAAATGTGCTGCCTCAATTATTTCAAAAACTAGACACCCATGCGGCACGCTTGGAGGTGAAGTACAGAAGGCGAGTCGATCAGAGTATGACCTTTCGGACTGGACTGGACTGAACTATTCCAAAAATGTCACGGGTGCGAGTCAACCCCTGTGACACGGATTTCTGTGCCGTGTCACCTCCCTACAAAAAGTTTGAGTACGACTCCCATGGTAGTTCTACAGTACAAATATAGTGCCATACGGAAACCGCGGCGACAACATAACACGTGCTTTCTGCTTGTATACGCATGTACGGTACGAAGTTCGTGTGGTGGATGGACCTGGTCGTACAATGGTGCCATAAACTTTTGCTTTCATCACACGGACTCGTGGTGAAGAATGCTCGCATGCAAGAACGTCAGTCACTTTGTTGCAGTTTGGATTGTTTTGGTCATTCTATTCCTGTCAAAATAAGTTCAGTGATCCTCAGTTTTTGGCGTTGCAGGACGTAGTAGCAGTATGCAAGGTGTCATGAATTTCTTCGTCTTCTCTCTGGCCGCTTTGGCCCTGGTGAGCCAAGCTCTGGCCACCTCAATGGACGTTCACTTTGCCAGCTGCAAGCCAGCCGGTGCTGGTGCCACGATCAACTCCGTCAATGTCAACCCATGCTCTGCTCTGCCCTGCATGCTGAGCCCTAAAGACTCGTACAATGTCACCGTGAACGTGACCCTGACCAATGGACTCACCACGGGCCAAGCCAAACTGGGGGCAATGCTCCACAACCTGTTCGTCAGTTATCCTGGCTTCACCCAGACCGACTTCTGCAAGAACCTGGTGGATGCAGAGTGCCCTTTGAAGCCTGGACAGTCCGTTCTTTACAAGATGCTTATTTTCTTCCCGAAAGGCACTCCGATAATTCTTCTACCCTCCGTCATCGAAATTGAGTGGAAACTCCAGGACCAAACGGACAAGGAAATCACCTGCTTCAATAGCATCATCCGTGTCAACAAAAACGAGCCCGAGGAGCGCAGAATTCCCATCAGGGTCTAGGATTATATCCGTTGACGTTTGTGATCCGAACAGCTTCTCGCCTTGCTTCCCGTTTCGCCGCATGCAATATTTTACTCGATCATCATTCATCAACCCGTTGACCTTCGGTCGTCACAATAATGCAGGTTCGTATTGATTTTGTTGTCATAATTTACGCTGCACGTCTGCTTTCACGCAACACATATCATTAGATTAGCTCCAATCTGAATAGTGCAGGTTTGGAACTCACAGTGATGGGTTAATTACCACCTATAAACGGCATGTTTGAAAAAAGTACTCAGTCCTCATTATATTTAACGTGTGCGTTTTTCAACCATTAGGTTTTATAGCGTTTATGTAGGTTTGTTGCACACTTGGCCATCACAGTTGACATTTTAAAATTGTTCTAACTTGCGTAATATTTTTACTAAGTGCCTCGACAAAAGATCTGACTTGCTTACCAACACAATGATAGGAACAAAAATCAGGAGTCCAAAAACAGTGCTCAGTCTGTGAACTGATGGTGGTGGTGGTGGATGTTGCGGGAGCTTGGCGCATCTGTCGTACATGTGTGATCGTGCCGTCGTTCGTAACAATATAATACTACCGTAAAGTACCGCGGGAGCGCCCCACCATCTCGTCCTTTCTCGGTCGTATTGTGGAGGTGGTCTCCTGTCTGTAGGTCATTTGACACCGACCTTGTACACGCACATTGCACGTTGTGCAGTCGATCTGTGCTCCATTTACATTCGAGCGGACACGAGCTCTACACAAAAACCCGCTAGCCATGACCTTAGTACACCAAGGTTCTCACTCCGTACAAACTTCGTTGCACTCTGCCATACGATTTCCCTTTCCCTGGCTGTAAAATCAAGCTGGAGCGCTCTGACGAGACAGGGCGATATGGCGGTACTTTACGGTACTACCGTGAAGGTGCGCGAGAGTGCCACACCAACTCGTCCTTTCTTTGCCGTGCTCTGGAGGTGGTGTCCTTTCTGCAGGTCATACGAAACGAACCTTGCGTGCTGTGCAGTCACTCCTGACCTTGCAGTAGCCAGTGCAGGCTAAATTTTATTTTTCAAGGAAACCCTTCGAAAATGGTACCAATCGATTCAGCATGGCATTTCCATTCCTCCTGCAAAGTTTCAGCTGATTTGGAGTCATGACAAGGACGCTATGGCGATTTGAAGATCGAAAAACTTCACTTTTGTTTGTCAAGAAGAAAGACCATGATCGCACACAAATCATACAACCCGTGTGGCACAATGATTTTTGCACGAAGTTGATCCGCGGACCCCGTGCTTCGCGCATGCACGCATGCATACTGCACAGTACAGAGGCTTTTTTGAACGCAGATATGTAGTTCTTCGTCTTCTTCGAAATGTCTTCCAAATGCGTGGTGCTGGTGTTGTTCTCAGCTTCGTCAAGGCAGAATGCAGCTGCATGTGATGCTCCTGTGTGTTCATGCATGTTCTCTTTTCGCGTCTCGACATTGTAGCGTCCAGACTCGGCTCGACTGGAGAAGATTGAGGAGACTATGCTTTGATCCACATGGAAAATCGATGAAATTTGGTAATTATCGTCGGGCGCTAAAAAGCGCTGGGGAGCATGGGGCTAAAACTTCGTAGCAGTCATCCCTACCATGACAGGCATCGACTGGTATATGTTCCATTCTGTTCCCAACCACTACGGGTAGTCTGCGAAGCTTTCTTCTTCGCCGATTCTCGGACAGATCGTACGTCTTCGCACTGTATCTCTCGTCTCCCTCAACGGATCAAAACACGGTTTTCGCCAGGACGAACACAAACCCCCAGATTTCGCGGCGGCAACATCTTCGAGTAGGGAAAAGCTAGCAGCTAACCAGGAATCACCAAAAAACACGTGTAATACTCAGTGTGATTTGCGACAGCTGTCATTGTGCCGTCGCACCATGCATGTACCATGCACGGGAATGGAACACGGATGAGTCGTTTTATTACGACAGCCTGCACTGGCTACTTGCAGCGCCACACAAGAACATACTAAGAGTGGTCTCAGTACAATAAGGTTCTCAGATAGTACAACTTAGTTGTCTTCTGCCTTATGATTAATTTTTCCTTTCTCTGGCCGTGAAATCAAGGTGGGGCGCTGTCGCTGTACTTGACGGTAGTTGCAGACAAAAGAACAGAGTAAGGCCCGCATGGCTGGGTGGTACGTGTGACTGGGAACTTAGAATTTTGATAACTGTGCGGCTTCGCAAGGGTGCATAATTTATCCATGCGTGTGTGTGTGTGTGTGTGTGTGTGTGTGTGTGTGTGTGTGTGTGTGTGTGTGTGTGTGTGAATCCGTATTTTTCATTTTTTTAATTCTTTCATTCTTATTTGGATTAACTGGCCAGAAAAAGCCACTTCAATCAGCTGTGTGGTGGATACCAGGCTAAAATTAGTGGCGGTCAATTCATCAGCCTTGCAAGCTGCTGAATGGTGTAATCCCAGCACAAGTTGCTATGTCTATCATAGCTGTTCGCTATCATCGCTTCTGC